TGTGGATACCCTAAGTGGGCCTTCACCAAAGCAAGGAAGAGGCCTAACACCAACAGGGAGAAACCAGAAACAAGAGGAGATAACACTGTCATCCTGTATGTGGCTGGTTTATCAGAGAAGTTAAAAAGGATATTTCGCAACCACAATATCCCAGTTAACTTTAAACCAGGTGTTGGACCCAGTTCTTTTCACCGTTAACTCTGAGACACAAAGCAGTCCGAGTAACTTCAAAACAGTGCTGATTTATTCAATGAACACAGGTAAAATTAACATTGCACACTCAGGAGTCTTTGCACCTCTAACATGCACGCAGGCAGCTGGTAGATGAAAAGCCCTGAACCATAACAGGCCTATACATTATATCACTTTGGGCTAGCCCCATACTACTCAGGGACGCCAAACCGTGACGTCTCCAATGCCAGCTTCGCAGCTGGCCATAGTAGTAATCAAAGCATGAAGAAAATCAATGTGTGATTGTCTGTTGATTGTGTGGTGTGTATCTAAGACATTCTGACATGACATCTAGTGACATGTCATGACATTAAGCATAAGAAAATATTATGATTAAACATGTCATAATAATAATACTAAACATTCTGTCTCCTAACAGTAATCAACTTTCCATCTAGTTATCCTTGAACATGAACAACCTGGAGTACCCTATGGGAACGACTAAGCATTTAACAGTCTGAACTAGACATCCTGTCTACACTAAACATTTCTAATACATGAAGTATCTAACCAATGTCTATCTGACTTTCACATTGTAAAGACCTTTATTGTTACATGACTGATTTTTTTTACATTTTGAAATCTTTTCTTTTTATGAAGTAGAAAGTCACTTTCAGCTTTTTCCCATTTAAGGGTCACCACAGCAAATCGTCACACTGACAACTCGCATGTTGACATTTGGCACGTGTTTTACGCCGGATGCCCTTCCTGACGCAACCCTGACTCGAACCCGGACCACCCCCTCCCTGCCACTTACCCCCTAGCCTACCATGGACAGTTTTTTTTTTTTTTTATGAAGTGATGTTGATAAATTGATAAATCTTCTATTCAGGGTCAAATTGACCCAATCAGTATCTTTGTATTATGAACATGCAGGGGGAGGTTCAAAAATGTGAAATGAACCATTTTCATTTTATATGCTGATGACACCTATTAAGCCAAGCAGAAGAAGTTTCATACCAATACAATACTTGTAACTATTATTTTCAGATTTTTTTACTTTACAATGGTCAATGTGACCCATTGTAAAGCAACATAAGAGGAGGGATAAGAATAATAGCTCTGTAAACAACCAGCACAGGAGAAAGTACAGTACAGAACACTTCTCAAGAGTTTGAGAAAGTGCTTCACAGGTAGGAAAATAACAATTAAAATGCAATGAGATAAACATAAAGGAGATGTGAATGAGAAATGAATTGGACAACTGGCTCTATAAGACTGAAACAAGCCACTATAACAACAATAAAACAGGCATTAAGTCATTGAGATGACATTGAGGTACAAGCAGACATGCTTAAGGATGAGCCCCGGCTTTTTCCTTTTTGTACATTTGTTCTTTTTTGTTTTTTTTACGGTAGAACGTTTTATTGCTGCAGCTTCTGTTTTCCATGTCATTTGTACTATGGAATGAAGAAGCATCCTCTCCCATCACTGGAAATACTGACACTGCTGTGATTTATAATCCCTGTGAATAATTAGCAAAACATTCAATCTCTCTCTATACGAGATAGGCGGATATAAATCTCCTCATTTAAGACGGCCTGTGGGATGTTTAGGACAAACTCTCAGTGCAGTTGTTGAAGGCATGGTTGGTTGCTTTGGACTTTTTAGAGCGTTGTCATTAGTTGTCATGTCTTTCTGTTGGCAAAGTTGTTTGACACGAAGGTTTTTGCTTGCCTCAGTGCTGTGCAACTGTAATAGGAAGTGTGTTTTAAAATGATATGGAAATGTTTGTTTGGACAGATATGCAGACCTCGTCCTCAAGCTGCTGGTTATGTTTTTCTTTATTTGCAGTGCTGCAGAGATGAATCACTTGACACCTTTATAGTTTGCATTACGGACTACAGAGAATTGCTTTTTCTGGAAGAATGTAGTACATTTGTTTACATAACGTGTGCTAGTCAATTTATCATCAGACAGTAATTTAAGTAATTAGGGTAGTAATAAATCAAATTTTTAAAAAGGTTCAGGGAAAATGTGCTATTCAATATAAACTCAGTTAAATGTTTTATACACATGACAACAGTATCTACATGCTGTAAATGCAATTTATCTTTAACTTTTTACCTTTTTTGTTGTTTCAGGTGTGGTGCTGCCTCGTTTTAGAAAAATAAGAATTTACATATATATCGCACATCTCTACTTCATGTACATAGCACATTTATTTCTCTTTAGTCCTTCTTTTCAGCCAAGTGAGTAAACATTTTGTGTTCTATAGTGAAGCGAGAACACATCAGCTCAAGGGTTGTATCAAATGTCGACTTTTTTTCCTATCCTGCATTTTGGAGGCAAGTCGTAAATGCAACGCACCCGGTCTCCTCTGAGGCGTGCCCCAGATGAAACAAAGCATACACCTCAATAGGTCTCCACGGGACTGGCGGCTATCTGACTGGCTCTTGGAAGATTGACAAGTGAGCATTATTTTTCACAGCAAAGTGGCAGGCAGTCCCTTATGTGATGTGGAGGCATGTGAAGGGCTGCTCTCGATCTTTCTCTGTCTTTCTTTTTTTAACACCTCTGCTATTCGAGCGGGCCTCTGAGCGTTTAAATGATCAAAATTCTGCAACATGGCTGTCTGCCCCCGTGCTGTCAAATTTGGACCGATATGTTTCAGCAAGTGAGAGAGGTAGACATTGACGATACACGTACACTACACAGACCACTATGCACACACACATTTGCCCACAAGTCCGGCGTTGCCAGACAGGCAAATGCTTCTTGGCATACCCGGCAGCTGAGCCGGACAGAAAAGTGGAAAAATTTGCTCCTCAGTGGAGACGCAGTCAGTCAGACTGCTGTCCAAAACCAGCAGTTATCTGCTCAGTCACAGACTAGAGGGCAAAGGGCTAGAGAAATTTTATTCAACTTTCACTCAATCGTCAACTATAAAATCTAAAAAGCATAACCTCTTATCATTCAGTGTTTTGTGGGAAATAACTGCACCCTCAGTTTCATTTCAAAACTCAAGGTGACTTTGTTGAGTGACACAAAGGGACGATGTTTTCAAGTTTTATTGGCTTGAGGATGGCCCCAAAACATCAGAGAAGATGGAAACCAAAAGGATTTGACAAACACAAATAATGTTTTTTTGGATCTTTGTCACTTGTGATGCTTGTACACACCATATGCAGTATAAATCAAGCTCCTTAACATATGTGCCTCTACCCAAAATAGCTGTAGATGGTCAATGAATCTTTAAACACAAATGTCCAATTATACATGTTAGGGTATTTTTTAGTCAGATAGAAATTGGATAGATACTTTTTGTATTAGAAATGTTTAGTGGAGATAGGATGTCTAGTTAGACTGTTAACTGCTTAGTCATGCTTATGAGTTTCTACAGGGTACATCTGGTCAAGGATAACTAGAGAGAAGAGTTGATGACTGTCAGCAGACAGGGTGTTTAATATTATTATTATGACGTGTATAACTGTAGCCTTAGCCATAATATGTTCTTATGTTTAAGTCACGACATGTTACTAGAGGTCGTGTGAGAATGTTTTTAGCTACACACCACTTAATCAACAGACACACACACATTGATTTGCTTCATGTTTTGACTACTGCTATGACCAGCTGCAAAGCTGGTAACAGAGACGTCTCGGTTGACGTTTCTGTGTAGTATGGGGCTAGCCCAACCGAGGGGATATAATGTATAGGCCTGGTGGGTTCAGGGTCTTTCATCTTACATCTGCCTGCGAGCAGTTTGGAGGTGCAAGATACCTGAGCGTGTAATGTTAATTTTACCTGTGATCCTTTGAATAAATCAGCACTGTTTTGAAGTTACTTGGACTGTCTCGTCTCTCAGAGTTAGCAATGGTAACAAGAGCCATAGTCCTACAGTTACTATTAGCTTTCCGGTAGTGTATTACATTATTTTGGTGTACCTGACAGATGCTCGGTGTAAATATCGATAACATTAGCTAGTTAGCTTACGAACTAGCTTAGCTACATCTCCGTTTGTAAGATAACCGATACATAACTCTACCTTCGTAGTCGTGGATGTATGAAGAAGCATATAGCTTAAACCCCTTATCCAGCTTGCTGCCCGGTGTTTTAGACGTCGAACTGCATATTCGGTGGACATCCGTGATCTTCATCTTTGGTAGTTCTTGGAGACATCTTGAGTAGAACAGTGCCATATTTCATACTAGTCACAAACCGGACACGGATGATTCTGTTTTGCAGTATACGGAAGTAAGTTGCGCATAACCCCTATCATGTCCTGTTTCAACGTAAACTACGGATGCCTGGTTGCGATAAAATGCCCACATTGCAGCCTCCAGTCCAAAGCTAGCGTTAGCTGACTAGGCAAGAAATTTTGACAGTTTAGTGGAATTGAATGCTAATGTGACACAAAGTACTAACATTGCACAAAGTAATTCAGAAACTAAAATATAATTTGTCCCCTCCTTGAACCGCCACCTTATTGTGGTGGAGGGGTTTGAGTACCCGAGTGATCCTAGGAGCTATGTTGTCGGGGGCTATATGTCCCTGGTAGGGTCTCCCAAGGCAAACAGGTCCTGGGTGACGGGTCAGACTAAGAGCGAGTCAAAAGCCCTTTATGAATAGATTAAAATCAAGGACCGTGACGTTACCCGGCATGGCGCAGCCACTTTTTGAGACCCTGCAAATGTATTATACTTATTTTACTTATGAGTTTAAGTCAGATTTCACTTGATTTGTCTGTGGAAACAACACTCATAACAGAGGTTCTCTCAGTGTTTGAGATTTTTCTATTCATTAACTTCTCTAACTTGTTGCAGACCTCACTCTTCCCCTGTACTGGGACAACATGGCTACTGGTGAAAATCTGAAGGTGGTCACACTGCAGCCTTCCTCTCCGGAGTACCAGACCGTGGAGAAAGCCTTCAAACAAACTGTCACCCAGACTGTAATGAAGGTGGGTGGCTTTCACCACAATAAAACACTGACTGTCTATAGATTTCAGAAGCACCTTCAGTTTGTTACTGCACAATCTTCTGTTATACAGTATATATGACTAAAATTACCACTTTGTGGGTGTATGCCTCTGCCAACAAGTCAAAATCACAGGAAAGACACAGACTGAAGGACACAGTGACCTTTTAACCACCAAAATGTAATCAGTTAATTCATGAGTCCAACTGGATCTTTGTGCCAAATTTGATGAAATTCCCTCAAGTCGTCTGAGATCATGTTCACTAGAATGGGCCAGACGGACTGATGAACAACCTGACAACATAATGCCAACCAGCCATGGCTTTCATCATTGATGTGTTGTCTAGATTTTATATATCTACATATATATTCACAATTGTGCAGAGCTTAATAGGATGATTTTATAATTTATTATTCATTTATAATAGCTTAGTAGCTTACATTTAGATAAATTTTTATGACAGCAGGATCTTGCAGAGTTGAACATATTGCAAACTGTTTATGTCCGTTGAAGATTTGTGTCCTCCAGGAATGTTTTGGTAGCTGAACTTTTTTCATCTTTCTTGACAGATCGAGCGTTTGCAGAATGTTCATCTGCTTCGTGCCTATCAAGCACAGAAGAAGAACATGTCTGATAAGAATGTACACTGTGGTGGAGCAGGTGAAAAGCTTCTGTACCATGGCACAGCCAAGAACAACTGCATCCCTATCATGAAAAATGGGTTCAACAGGAGCTTTGCTGGATGCAATGGTAATGATCTTTTTGTGCGATTCACAACAAACAAACATAATTTTACTTGTACATGCAGTTTCAAGTATAATCTATAAGATTCCTTAAAGTTGAGAACAGTTTTAGTAAAAAGTAATTATTGCTTCAGCAGCAGTATATTAACACTGATCTAAAGCAACAAGTGCCTATATTTTTCCATATTTTGAACAAGTGGTTATTTTACTTCCATAAAATGTTTTAATTCTTATGCAGCAGAATATCATTGAAAAAGGGACCCGTTTAGAGAACTGATAGCCTATTTACAGTTAAAATTACATTACTCTGAAAAGGGAAAATACAGTATGTTCTATAGTTCTAATCTATTTCTTTTTGTAATTAATCTAGTTCCACAAGCCTTAGTTCCTCATTTCTTCCTGTTCTCAGGAACTTCATATGGTAATGGAACCTATTTCGCCGTAAACGCCAGCTTGTCAGTCGGTTACTCCAGTCCAGCTCATGATGGTTCTCGGTCAATGTTCGTGGTCCGAGTCCTGACTGGTGTCTACGATGCAGGCCACAAAAGCATGAAGGTGCCTCCTCCTCGCAGTTACCAGCAGCCCCATGACCTCTATGACAGTGTGGTGGACCAAATACACCAACCAGACCTATACGTTGTGTTTCAAGATAATCAAGCCTACCCGGACTACCTCATCACCTTCAGGTGAAGTGATGTATTTTCCACTGTGCAAAGGCCACAAGTGTAGGAAAATACAGTCGTAGTCTTAGGAATAATATAAAATAGTTATGTTTTAATGCAAGTCTGGGGAGTAACTAGTTACATGTATCAAGTCACTGTAATTAAATTGGAAAATAAATGTAATTGTAATCTCTTAGTTACTGAGAAAATATATGTAATTCATTTACAATTACTATGTTTTCAGAAACCAAAAAAAGAGAGAGATTTTTCATTTCAAAATGGCTCACCCTAGTTTTGCATTGATGTCTCTTTTGCAGCTAGGAAGATGGACACCTTATTTCACTACAGCATGTGAACACAACTTGTCCTGTGCCTTAGCCTGTTCACTACTAACACCAGTTTACAAGCTAGTTAGCCAATTAGCTACTCAGCTGCAGTGCATTAAACAGATGGTAAACTTTCTTGCAAATGTTACTTTAGTCTGTTTGATGCTGATGTAGTCTTTATTTTTAAATACCACTAACACTACTGTCCATTACATGCACAGTAGGTTGCAGAGCAAGTCTGTTTACCAGCAGAGGTGAGCCTGTCAGGTACTGTCATTCAAACAGCTCAGCCAAAAGAGCATTTTTCACAACAATCTTTTCTTTTTCTTTCTTTCTGAACTAAAGAATATATTAATTATTCCTGGGCTGCTTTATCTCGGATACCAGCGAGTTAAAACCTCTAGAATAGAGGTCATACTTTCATTTATTAAATTACATAATTTATGGTTTTTGTTGTTTCACAATGAATTTTCTTCAAAAACAAATCATCTGATTAGGAGCTGTTCTGGAAGTTTGAATGTGTTTGAATCCATATAAAGTGTTGTATCATTGATGGGGTCACTGTAAAGTTTTAGATTTTGTTGATGGTAAAATAAAGAGGTTTAAATGACAACCAGTTATCAGAACTGACTCCTATACCCAAACTTATAGAGAACATATTGTCAGAAAATTATGAAGTATTATTATTTAGTTGATATTTCAATTGGTACAGGGAAATTAATATAAAGAAATAGATTTTATATTTCACAAAAACAGGCAGAAAAAGATTTACCCCTTGACACTCCTTGATTCTCAAAAGAATTGTTGACTTTCGCATAGTGAGAGACTGAATCTAATGACTACATGTAATATAAATGTGGTCACTAATAAGGACAGAAAATCCTGCTGCTACTGTAACAGTCAATTAAAAGAGTGACTTTTCTTAGAAAAACAGATAATATGTTCCAAAGACATATTCCTGTGAATTATTTACCACATTATTGCTGTTGCTAAGGGTGGGGTAGCACCCTTAGAGATAGGGTGAGGAGCTCGGTCACCTGGGAGGAGCTCAGAGTAGAACCGCTGCTCCTCCACATCGAGAGGAGCCAGCTGAGGTGGCTCGGGCATGTGTTTCAGATGCCTCCTGGGCGCCTTCCTAGGAAGGTGTTCCAGGCATGTCCCACCGGGAGGAGGCCCCGGGGAAGACCCAGGACACGCTGGAGGGACTATGTCTCTCGGCTGGCCTGGGAACGCCGCGGCATTCCCCCGGAGGAGCTGGAGGAAGTGTCTGGAGAGAGGGAGGTCTGGGCATCTCTGCTTAGACTGCTGCCCCCGCGACCCGCCCCGGATAAGCGGAAGAAAATGGATGGATGGATGGAAATATAATTTGTGGATTTCTAAGCTAATTATTTAATATAAATGTATAATCATGACTATATTAGGTCGCTAATGTTACCAAAATAAATACATGAGCTTAAGATGCTAACGCAACCAGAAGGAATTCCATTCTTAGCGAATTGGCGTTAGAGCACCAAACCTGGACCAAATTTGAGTCCTTTGGTCTGCTTTTCACGCTCTTCATTTAAAAGGCCAGCATTCTTGGATCTGAACTTGTACTCCTCCTGGCTAGTATCTTCCCCGAGAATCTCTGAGCTAGGTATTGTTAGAAATTAACCCAATTCTTTTGTTGGAAGCATGAGAAGTGATGACAGGAGAGGACTGTTTAAAATCAACAGGAAGTTTACTGGAAGTCTGAGCACAGGTAAAGTCTTATGGATTCAGAGAGACAGAGCTCCTGCAGGAAAGCCAGATTCTAAATCCTGAATTATGTTTTACAATACATTTTATCTTCTTGGGTTGCTTCACCCTGGATAGAGGTAACATTTTATAATTCAATTGGCCCTTTGGTGTAAGCAGGAGCTCACACCTCCTTGTTGGAATGTGGTAGAATCTAGGTATGTGTGTGTGCGTGTGTCTCAGGTGGCAGCTTGACTTTGACCAATGAGCACTGAACAGTGGGTGGCCTGGGTTGCAGGCCCCCTGTGTGTGTGATGCTAATAAGTATGCTAAACTGGCCAGGTGGTCATCTCAGGTTGTGGGCCCCCTGGCTCTGCAGGACACCCCAAGACAAAGCAGAATTTGGGATATGCTAAGTGGGTCTAGATGTGGGTGTAAAAGAAATCTTAGAAATCTGCTATCTAATCATATAGTTACTTTAGATGACATAGCTCTGGCTTCCAGTACTACTGTGAGGAACCTTGGAGTCATCTTTGATCAAGATATGTCCTTTAAATCACACATAAACCAAATCTCTAGAACTGCCTTCTTTCACCTGCGCAATATTGCAAAAACTCAGGATCATCCTGTCTCAAAGTGATGCTGAAAAACTGGTCCATGCATTTGTTACTTCCAGGCTGGACTACTGTAACTCTTTATTATCAGGATGTCCCATTAGTTTCCTAAACAGCCTCCAGTTAATCCAAAATGCTGCAGCCAGAGTACTGACAGGAACTCGCAAGAGAGATCATATCTCTCCCATATTAGCTTCTCTCCACTGGCTACCTGTAAAATTCAGATTAGAATTTAAAATCCTTCTCCTAACGTACAAAGCCCTAAATGACAAGGCTCCATCATATCTTAAAGACTTCGTAGAGCCTTATCATCCTAACAGAGCACTTCGCTCTCAGAGTGCAGGTTTACTTGTGGTTCCTAGAGTCCACAGAAGTAGAATGAGCTGGAGGAAGTGTCTGGAGAGAGGGAAGTCTGGGCATCTTTGCTTAGACTGCTGCCCCCGCGACCCGGTCCCGGATAAGCGGAGGAAAATGGATGGATGTCTGATTTGGACAGTAGAAAGCTTGTGCAGGAAATCAAGAACTTCCCTCACCTGACATCAAAAACCATGAGCCTCCTTGAGCTCATTGCTTTTCTGCAAGATAAGGATCTATCAAAGATCTACCCTAACTTTTGGACTGCTCTCAGGATTGCTCTTACTCTGCCAGTCACTGTGGCTCAAGCAGAGAGGAGATTTTCAAAACTGAAGTTGATCAAGTCATACCTGAGGTCAACCATGTCTCAGGAACGGCTCATTGGCCTTGCTATCATCAGTATCAATCACTCAATAGGGGAGCAGATTTCGTATGATGACATTATTGATGATTTTGCATCAAGGAAGGCCAGAAAGGTCAGATTTTAGTTTTAGTTTTTTGTTTTTAGTGCGGTGTAATAAGAGGGGGGGTCTCGCCCGGGGAGTAATTCAATGTAGAACCGCCACTGGGTGGGACTGTGTGGCTATCCTTCACTTTACATTCCTGAGAGGCTCCATCCGCTTCTCATGCCTCCTGGCAATCCTCTTAACCGGATCAGGGGAGTGTGCCTCAACATTTAACACTTAAATGTTGGAACAGTGTTGTTGTCTTATTATCAACATTAAATGTCCAAACTCTCAACTGTTAGTTGCACATTATATTGATTTTCTACTAGCACCACCAACGGGGCATGTTTTACACCATCCATGTATTCTTTTCAAGTACAGTAACGACAAAGAGCGAGCTACCCGGTGGCTGGCTGGATTCAGCTAAAATAACAAACGAGAAACGCACCACTATGCACAACTCTGACTTCCTTTTGTAATCCGTGTGGAACATCTGGAAGGCGAGTAGTAGTTGATATCATGGCAGGCTTTGCTGTGTCATCGTTGGCTGCCAGAACAGCTATGAAAATTGAGGAAAACAAAGCTGCCACAGATCACCATGCAAAGGAAATAAGTATTTGGTGCTTCTATGTACAAAGTACCACATATGCATTTGAACTGATTAAACGCTGAATTCTGCAATAAACAAGTTGCCAGTGTCTCCACGGGCACTGCTGTAATCAAGGTGGTAGACTGGTGGTGTCTGTATTTGTGGTGAAGAACAACAGAAGAAAACATCTGTCACAAACTTAGAAAGCCAAGTGTTTAATAAAACCTTTATTGTGTTTGTCAAAGTCTGGCTGCCAGACAAAACTTACAAAAGTTATTCAGTTTCTACCACACGGTTATATATTTCTGTGCAATTCTACACGGATAGTTCTGTCACCTCTTAAGTAAAGCGAAGAACATCTGGGTCTGGGCAACAGAAGTCAAAAACATAAATAACTGACTTGGTAGAGGGGCACAGTAATTCAATTATATACAACAGCTTAAACTTAAGTAACAAAAAGTACATAGCATACATTCACAAGACAAAAACAACCATTTGCTGCCTCAGTTCTCCAAGTCAGTCACATCCAGTTAGATTGAGCTATTTACAGATACTGTAGGTGTCAACACAAATATTTGAGTTCCTAACACAAAAAGAGAAGTAAAGAAAGTCATGAACCTTAAAATGCAAACTTTGTTTCCATTCCTTAACCGTTCTTAACTGTTCAGCTTGAGCTGGAACTGATGACATTTGTGCACTGTGGCTCACAGAAGGAGCCAAAGCGCCCATAGATGTCCTTGGCTCTAACAGCAAAGTGATAAGTGGAGCCAGACTGGAACTGGGTCAGCGTACAGGCCATAGGCAGAGGAAGGGCCTTCACCTCACCAATTTTCTTCCAATGCTGCTGCGCTGTATTATTGTTAGAGTTGTCCTGATGGAAGGCATAGAGGTGATAACTCTCTACAGCTGCACAGGTCCGATCAGTTTCTGCCACTTGCCAAGATAGCACTATACCAGTCTGACTTGGCACCAGCTTCAGCTGGGGTTGCTGAGGAGGTGACGTCCGCTCAGCCTCTGGGGGTAAGCGAGGAGGTACAGGTGCTGTGGGGAGAGGGGGCAGTACCATGTTGGTGCCCCGGGCTGGCACAGTGGTAGTTACAGTGCGGGATTTCATCGCAGAATCCTATAAAAGAGAAAAAAGTGTTGTCATGAGATAGTTCTCCAGCAGAAGGAGCTAAATATGAATATGACCAGAATTTATTGAATGATTTAAATAGCATCCACTTATCATTCACAGAGAAACTGAGTCTAGAAAGGCAATGGAAAACATTTCTTCATAAATTTTCAGTTGCAAAAATGTAAAATTAGAACACTGCATTTGGTTTGTGCTAAATATGAAAAAGGCCTTTTCAAATCTTTACCAATGGGGGGCGGTGGTGGACTGTCAACTGAGGATTGCCAGAGCAGTTCTGATTGCTTTGTGGAGATGACCTTGCTCCCGCACCTGAGAGCAAATCACACATGATAATTTACAATCAAAACACGCTAACTTCAACTATATAATCTTTTTCATTTAGAATTAGATCATTTTTATTGTAACAGTGTGTTATATGTAGTTATGCATTTGGCACAATATCACATGCACGCACAAAATCACCCTCTCATGCTGCCTATATAAAATGACGCTCTTACTGCTGAGAATGCTGACGACTGGTTGAGGACGCTGGGTAGGTGAGGGAACTGCAACAGTGGCATTCTTCACTCCTGTCACTGGGCAGACATACAGACAGACATAATTAGATGGAAGTCTTTTCAATACATTACATGTTAATGTATAGAAAACAAGTCATATGGGTGCATGTTATCCTTACCTTGCACGTCATCATCGTCCTCAGTGAGGTCAATGACGGAACCTTTGGGCCTTGTCACTGGAGCAGTAGGTCTGGATGCATTGGATCCTGTAGCTTGGTTGTCTGAGAAAAGAGAAATAAATTATGATTGAGACAAATTCAAGAAAAGACAGCAACAAAACAACAAAGAGATAATACACATACAGTACAATTGTAATATGCAACAAGATGTGGAATTAACTTTCTCCAGGTGGCGCGCGCGCACACACACGATTCTTTACACCTTGCAGTGTCCTCCCAAACCACTCCTTCCTTCAACACATTCCTATCATATACTATTATTTCTCAGTATTCACAATATTTTCATAATTAGTTTTATTAGACATAATTGTATATTTTCCCAATTTGTACAGTACTTAGAAAAATGTTTTTTCATATTATTTAGTACCATGATTTCTTTTCTTTCAAAGTGCCATTAAAAAAAACATCTTAAATCAGCCCCATCATTTACACCATCTCCTTATCAGACTGACAATGCCAGAACATAAGCTTTTCTCTATGCTTCCAATAAAGTTATATTCTGCTACTGCACACACTGCTGATATCTGAGACAATGTGGTGGAGGACTGAACTTAACTACTGTCCCTAAGACTCGATTTTTCCACAAAGGTGAAGCCAAATGTCATCTTCTATCAAGTGGCAACCTCTGAGGCTAAGAAACAAAGCCAATGTGCAAGTTTTTAAACCTGCAGTTCCTTGAATGGCCACATGAGGCTGCCTCCAAAAGGGAGTCCATCCCACATTAAAATGCCCAGCTTTACAGCACAAATACAAATGTTCACATCCATGTACAAAACCAGTTTTGGACTCTTCATGTAATTACTCCTTGCATGACAACTGTACAGGGGGTGAATTTTTATACAACTCTCCCGTTTAAAATTATAATGAGACTAAAGATCTTTTCACATAAAGGGTGACGCCAATATGAATATAATATGAGCTTTTTTTTTTCCAATGTGGTGCAATTTAAATGCACAACATATATTCACACCTGATTCAATACAAATATTGAAAATTCTAAAATGTCTTGCTACAAAAGTCTATATCAAGCGATGATGACCTGCAGGTGCTGGTTCTGCTAAATAAGGCATAAAAAGGCAGCTTAGAAAGTTTCACTGCTTGGTGCTGGGGTTGAAACTGTACTGTGGTCATTTCTGAACCTATATCAGGATGTCTGTGGGACAATTTGAGGAGTTGTTGCTGCTGTCACAGCACTTCAAGAGGTAGAGGAGCAATTACAATCAGTCGACCCGGATTAGCGCCTGGTTGTGTGTCTGAGGTAAAATATATACTGAACACCACTTAAAAAAATAAATCAGACAGGCTTTGCCAACACAATTATGGTAACAATATTGTAACGTTCCAGCAAGATGCATAGTGATTACTCACACGTTTCAGTTACTGGTGAAAAGTTGAAGGAAAAAAAAAAGACCCTGGGGCAAAAATAAATAAATAAATGACATAATATATTCCATCATTGATGTGCGAGGGTTTGTTGACAGAGTACTGGTTCAAAAATTGGGTCCCTCCATCAGTCGTAGCTGCTAGCTGTCTAGCAAGATTCACCTCTTTGCCCATTTTGGGATTACTCGTATCAGGCGAAGTGAAGCACAACCAAGATGGCAACACCCAGACTTCAGCTTCAAAAACCAGCAGACGACGTCACGGTGGGTTTGTTCATTTTTTATACACAATCAATGGTCTTTATCCCCTTCTGACATTTCTGGGACTACCCAACTGTAGCTTTACTGATGACTACAGTGGAGAAGACACCCACCTGTCTTTGATGTCAGAGACGTCCCTTGTGGTGGTCCTGGAGCAGTGGAACCTGTTGCTGCTGGCCCAGATGTTGCAGGTGAAGAGGCAGACGACATAGCACCGGCTACAGAGACAGACTGGACTGGCGTCCTTGCTGTAGTCACAGATACCCCAGCACTGGGTGTGGTTATTGCCCCAGCGCCTCCCTGGTACACAGCTCGAGCAAGAGAGATCTGCGCAGAAGACATCTGGCCAGTGGAGGCCTGGAGAGCTGGAACAGTGGCAGCAGCTGGTGTGGAGGCTGGAGCTGTAGTAGTGGGAGGAGCAGGCTTGAGTATAAAAGTAGCGGTAGAAGCAGGGGTTTTGGCTTTGTTGAGTGAGCCCGCTGCAGACAAAGAAGAGACGGGGATGTTGACCAGTGTTCCTGCCTGGCCATTAGTCATCGATATAGGCAGCTGGATGAGGAGAGGCTGGCCTGTAGCCACCATACTGCTGCCAGAGGCCGTCTTCAGCAGCAGTGTGCCTGTAGGACTCTGAGTGGTGATGCCTGTGGCCAAGGTGGAGGCAGCATTAGAGGTGGAGGTGATCAGCTGGAGGATGGGGGCCTGTGGAACCATGGCAGTGGAGGTGGATGTTGGGGCTGTAGGTGGGACAGGGGCTGGTGGAACTGGATTTGCTGAGGAAAACAGGAAAAAAGGCATGTGTCAGAATGTGACAGATGGTAAAATGTATTCTGTGCTCCTTTACCCATCTGCTCCTTTATTACTTGCACTCAACTACAGGGTGAAAAACCAGAAGCAAATTAGTCCTCACTAAACAGATCCACTAATTACCACTAGTGAAGTCATGGCAGTTAAAACACAGCAGGCAAATTCAATTGTATACTTGCACGCATGTACAGGAAGTTTAAAGGATAAGGCCGTCAATATTTCTGTAATCGTCAATAAATCACAGACCAAAGCAAACAGTATGTTAGTCAATCTCTCAGTACTTCTGTGACTTCTGTGGCACTCAGCCCCAAAGCTAATTTGTTCCTGAAAGCGTAAATGTTTAAGAACATATCTCGAATACATGCTTTTATGTCTTTATAGAGGCTCTAAACCTTTTCTTGGTTTGGACACTGTAGTTTCTATTAAAACTCAAACAAAAGTAAGCAATGATGGGAACGATGTTCAGGTTCACCATGGTAGCGAGTATTGACCAGAAGGACAGCTTATATAAAAATGATTCCAAACAGGAACAAATGAACCCATCCCTCTATGTTTTGCTACACAGGTAATAAGTGTTAGCAGGATCAATTAATTGTTGGCTGTGGTTTAAAACATTTCTTTCCACTGTGAAATAAAACTTCAGCATCTACAGAAACCATATGAGTGCATTGGGAACATGCCAACTCATCATGGAAAGAAACAAAATTCAAAACCCAAAACTTAAGGATAATCACTTTATTTGGCCAAGTATGTTACACTCGAGGAATCTGTTTCCCGTACAGAACTGAGGCAGCCATCTGTGGCGCCAACTCAACCAATGGCTCTAACCATCGGGGACAACGGGGGGGTTCAGTGTCTTGCCCAAGGACACTTTGACATGTGGACTGGAGGCACCGAGATTCAAACCTTTAACCTTCCGGTTGGGAGACAACTACTCTACCTACCGTGCCACTGTCACCTCCCCCAAACTACCAACTGTCAGAAGTGGGACTTAAAGAAAAGACCAACATAACATCCAGAGTAAGAGGAAATCCAAGTACTCACCAGCTATGCTGGATGAAGCAACTGTTGTCGGTGTCTGCTTTACCTCCAAGGAAGTCCGGACTGGCCTGTTTAGAAAGATTGCTTATGCTTAGAGTTGTTCATGCTTAGAGCTGTTTATGTCCATGACAGGAAGAGGACTGAATTTGGTAAGATGTTGACATTTGATTTTATTCCATGTTTCTTTGTCTTTTGTCATCTTATAACAACAAGAGATCACCTCATAATTAAAGTTTTGGTTAAAGCATTTAATCAGTATGTCAAAGTTCAGCATGTTCAATTGAGGTGCCGCGTCCACTGATTTTTGTGTCCAAGTCAACAGGGATTCACATCCCTTTTAATAAGAAATACATTTTTATGAATGCTGACAAGAATCTAGGTGCAACAAGAGTCACATTTAGATAAAATGTTTTGGATAGTTTCTATGACGCATAATGACAATTGTCCCAGTATACTTCTGTTCCTCTAACATAAGTGTCAAAATGACACAGTTCTTTCATCATATTCTCGAAAAAATTCTGGTCTCCTCTTCACCCTAAGTATTTCATTGATGACATCACGAATTTCTCTCCAGCAGTCACAGGACAGTACAGGGAAACGACGCTCAATGTACATCCTCATTGTCCTCCTTAAGTTCTTTGGCAGTGCCTCCTTGCCCAGTAATCCAACATAGTTGACTTTTGCAACCCAGTCACAGTAGACGTCATATGGGACTAAGTAGCGGAATATGTAAGATGCATAGCGGTCAGGCCTCGGGTTCCCTGAGCTTCTTTTACAGTTGTGATACAGCACTTTCTCCAAGTGGGAAGTGATTGTGCGGAGTTGAATGTCTGCTCTGCATTTTCCTTCACTGTATTCTGCCAGCTTTTTTGCCATAGCAATCTGACGTGACAAATCTTTAGCCTCCTCCATTTTCTCTTCTTCCTTCTCCTTCTTGGCAGATAATGCAGGAGTCTTACCAACAGAGGGCAGCGCTCCCTCTCTGGGCACCTTGGATTGCAGCTCTACTGTCTGCCGACGGAGCACGCTGTTGGGAGGAGAGGTGCAGTTTTAACTACACTTGGCACTGCCTGAGGGAACGCTCAGGCTTCACATTGTAGAACGTCACAAGACTCAGGACCTGGACCCACACGGGGTTACTTTGCAGGTGCCAAACCCAAATTGGGATGTGTGTTTGTTTATCCACACCAGTCTTAAGAAATATTTATAGAGTGTAGTCAAGAGGCTAAAAAAAGCTGATCCTGAGAAACCGAACAAGGGACATAGAATCTTGGTTTCCAAAAGGTATGGATTTGGAGGATGCAAGGATTCTTTATTGTGTCCATTCAGTCTGTAGTGATTACAGATAGCAGCCTGGGACAATGTCAACTATTCACGCTGTGGACGTCTCCATGTGTAGTACTGGCTTCAGTCCGGTATTGTCACGTTCATACAAAGGCCAAATTATATTCACACAACACCAAAATGCACATCCTACTGCATGATTAAAAAATAACATGTTTAAATACACTGATGCTGTGAATTTTGAAATCTCAAAATTTTGTCTCATGATGATCTGGCCTGGCAAACGTGAGCTTGCAGTGAGATGATAAGATGGCTTAAAAAAAACCCTGGATACCTCTTTGCTAATTTTATAAGTCCAAATATAAAACAAGGTTGACAGGGATCTAGAAAAAAAAATGCTCTAGGCACACTTACCGCTGAGCTTGAGGGTTGTTTGCAACAGTTGCAGTCTTTGCAGCAGGAGTAGCAGTAGCAGCAGCAGCAGTAGCCTTAGCAGCAGCAAGTGTCTGCAGAAATCAGATAATATGCTGTCAGGACATTTTTTAAAAATATCAGGTGCATACCAAGATTTTAGGAACAAACAAGAAAATCAGAGGAAAGCAATATCTTACCTCCTGTTTCTTTTTGTTCTCTGACACCTGATTGGCCTCTCCAAACTTCTTTGATAGTCGGGCTATCTTGGACTAAAAAAACGGTAGAGGGAGGCAGACGTTTTAGGCCTTTTTAATTGTAGGGAATTAATTTTGTGCCTCCTTAACTCTATATTTATCAGCAAACCAGCATCTCACAATTCTGCCTGTGCTCTCACCACAGAAAAATGTTATCAACTTTGCGAGATGACGTCTGCTTACCTGGAGTGTGGTAATGGCAGTTTGGTGTTTGGTGGCACAGTCAATCTTGTCTACTCTGTCTTTCAGCTCTTGGAAATGTTTGTCAAAACTTGTCAGCTGTAAAACCATCAACTGTTGACCCACAAGCTGTTGCACAATCTGAGAAAGAATTTCAGGTACAGGGGCAAAAATGATCAATTAAATCATTTTCAAAGTCTGACATCAAAGCAAAGTTCAGTTAGCTTAGACCTTTGGAAAAAATGTCAGAGTGCAGTAGAATAGCTGCATGCAAACCTTTTCAAGTTTATGGTGACTGTCAGCTTTTGCAGTAATTTTAAGTTCCAGTTGTGCCTCCAACTCCTCGTGTTCCACCTTGGGCCTCTTCCCCTCTCTTTTCATGATCGGACCATCGTTTTCGTAACCCTCTGATAATGTGCGCTTCAGTCCTGAGGTTGAGCCCTTCTCCCCTTTTGGGAAACAAAGACAAAGACCTGTGTTGTACCCGGTACTTTTTACCATACTGACTCTGAGAGACGAGGCAGTCCAAGTAACTACAAAACAGTGCTGATTTATTCCATGAACACAGGCAAAAATTAACATTACACGCTCAGGTATCTTGCACCTCCAAACTGCTCGCAGGCAGATGTAAGATGAAAAGACCCTGAACCCACCAGGCCTATACATTATATCCCTTCGGTTGGGCTAGCACCATACTACACAGAAATGTCAACGAGACGTCAATGTGTGTGTGTGTCTGTTGATTAAGTGGTGTGTAGCTAAAAACATTCTCACAGACTTCTAGTACATGTCGTGACTTAAACATAAGAACATATTATGGCTCAGGCTACAGTTATACACGTCATAATAATATTAAACATCCTGTCTGCTGACAGTCATCAACTCTTCTCTCTAGTTATCCTTGACCAGATGTACCTTGTAGAAACTCATAAGCATGACTAAGCATTTAACAGTCTAACTAGACATCCTATCTCCACTAAACATTTCTAATACATAAAGTATCTATCTAATTTCTATCTGACTAAAAATGCCTAACACCTGCTTACTAAAATGCTTTTTAGTGCTATTCTGTTATCGCTCAGCAGAAACAAACAGAACTCAGACGGCACTAACAACTTTGATAGAGTTTGTTCTTTTGTTTGACCACAAGTTTTCTGTCAACTAGACAGAACATGAAGAGTTTCTCCAAATGTAACATTATCAACTACAATGTAAATGAGTCCTGCTTAAAACAATATACTTTGGGTTAAATATGAAAAACTATTCAGCACAAATGTTCCAGTGCCTTGGGGCAATGTGGCCTGTATTAAAAAAAAGTAACCTTCATCTCCATATCAACTGGCAACCTTATACTGACAAAATAATTTTCTGGAGACCAGGGTTCACTTTATAGGGTTTCACATGCAAGCACTTCTAAACTCCAATAAAATTAAATCTACCTTATTTTCCTGCACAGTATAATGCACTGCCATTTAATATAATGTTATCCTTACCATTTGATTTATTCAGCACATTTGCAAACTATGAGCTTCCTTTGTAGCATCTTAAAGTGGAACTCAATTTTACATGTTAAAGTCAATTTATAAGTTACATGAAGTAAGCCAGCCTGAAAACAGTGGCATACCCTAAAAGACAACTCAAGTGACATCTTGGGTATCTTGAACAGCTCTGGTGGAAAATGGTGGGTGTGGAGTTTAAAGGACAAAAGTATTTACCAGACAGAGAGGGTATAAAGCAAAGATGTTATTGATTTGCATTAAGGGATGTGTAGGATCTAGAGTTTTTATGCTTAATCCATACTGTAGTCATATTACTTGCTAAGCAAAGTAATAATGAAAGGCTATACTTTCTATAGCCTTTTGTTTCATAAAGCTCCCCATGTATAAAACACAGAATGACTGCTGCATTACTGCTTCCTTTTTCTTTTGGATCTCCACCAGTCTTTACCAATATGAAAGAATTAAACTGAAGATATCTGACACAATGTCCACTCTCTCATACCTGTATTTGATGGTGGAGTAGATGATGGCCGAGTTGGCTTTGTGGTTTGTCCAACATCAGTTTTTTCCTTCTTGAACTTTTCTTTCTTCAAGTCCACCTCCATCTTTACCTCACTGGTTGATCTTTTCTTCACATCTTCTTTGTCACCCTTCTCTTCTTTTGTGTCCTCATCCTTGATTCCCTTTTCTTGTTTTACATCAGCACAAGAAGAGGATGCTGGATGAGTTAAGGACGGACAAGGAGGAGAGGAATCGGACGTTACAGATATGGGGGAAGAAGGCTTTCCATCTTTTATTTTGGCTGCGGAGACTTTGGTGTCCTTGTCCTTTGTAGTGTCACTGTCTGTATCCATTGGTTCTGTGTAGTCAGATACTGCAGGTGCCACAGGCAAAGGTGGAACCAAACCTTTAACAGACTCCTTTGCTGAATCCACAGGTGTGTCCTCTGTCATAGTCTGTCCCGCCTGAGGAAGAGCATCAATATATAATTAATGAAAAGGTTTTTTGGACTCTGTCTATCTGAATATCAACATTAACCATCACAGTCTGAAGAAGTCCAATATAAATCCAGGATAATGAGACTATGCTGCAGGATTTATACAAACATATGTGAAAAATTTACCTCTTTCTTTTCCACCTTGGGGACCGCTTCAGTGTCCTTTTCCTGGTTTTCCTTAGATTCTGTTGTTGCTGGCATAATGGGCTCATTTGATGAGGATGATGAAGAACCTTTCTTTTCCTCCTCCTCTTCCATCTTTTTCAGTTCAAAGTTTAGAGAGTGGAATGGTGATGCTGGAGAGGTAGGAGATGCTTCTTTTGCTTTTGGACTTTGTGAAGAGGCAGAGGAGGGGGACAGATTTAGGGACAGGAAAGGAGCAGGAGAAGCAGGCGATGCAGCGTTGGGGGAGTTGGAGTCCGAGGTGTTGTTTTGCTCTTTATCCCCAACTTTTTGCCCATCTTCTTTATGCGTGCCATTCACTAGAGGTGGTGGAGATGGGTCAGACAAACCTGGAGCTGCTGTCAGCAGGGTACTGTGAAGATTCTCCAGTTGTTGTCGATCACTGATCTTCATGGTTTTCCTGGCACGGAAAATCTTCTTCTTTTCCTCTGTCACAATAACTTCCATTACTGCCTGTGGAATGACAGAAAAATTAGATGCTATCAAATAGAATGATGAGTCTGAGAAATATCGACAAAAGCACAGTGAGAGCTACATGAGTAAAAGCACAGTCCCTTCCGCTTATGAACCTGTCTTGGGGTTTACGCACTGCATGCTAAAGAAATGGCTGCAGAGTTTTAAAGGAAACACCAGAGGTCACTGCAGAGCCCCATGGCTTTCTTGTTTTTCCTTTTCTCAAAGGTTCTTCTTTCACAGAGATCTACTTACCAAACCAGCTGGTGATCTTAACAGTGCGTTTCATTACTAAAAATCTGACTCAGTATTCAAGCCAAATCAGGCAGATCCTTACTGCCTGATTACACATTTTTGTGTCTGTTCTCAAGTGACAAGTCAAGGTGCAGCTCTGTGTGCCAGAAACCCTTTTTCATGGCAGTCAGAAAAGCTTTATCTGCTCTGACAAACTCTGCATTGATTTAGTGATTAACCTATGGATTTCATGTTTACCTAAGTGCTGATCTAGAGAACCAAATTAACAGCAGCAGCAACCAAGCCTTCCTCCCATCCCCCCACATTCCTATTGGTTCAAGCCTCAGCCAATCAGAATGAACAAATCGAGGCTGTGTTGGCAGCAATAAAGAGGTTCTACATAACAGGATTTTCCGTGCACATTTCTGAATGTTGCACACAATGTAGTATTGAGGCCAGTTGAAAAGTTTCTAGGTATTAATGTTATGTACATTCAGTTTATATGTATTCATATTTGAGATCTATGCTTATACATTATCATAACCCTTCTTGAGTCAAACAAGATTAGAAGCTGTGTGCTGCAGGAGACTGTGCTTAGCTGCAGTAAAATTCTCATTTTACATTCAGTAGCAATCAAGAAATATGCTATAATATTAAGTAGCATGCTGTGCATACACTAATAAAAATATCTATGAATAACTCACGTTCAAGTCGAAAGGTTCCTGGTCATAGATTTACCACTGAATTCTTCAACAACCTGAAGGGAAAAGACAGGATTTTTTTACTTAGTAAAATTTACATTGCATCTTTCAACTAGGAATACAGGATCAATTATGTATGAAGTCCACAGATCATGAAAATCAAAGTACAACCCCAAATTTAGCTCCTCTGAATTAAGCGGTCTATCTCCATCCCTTGAGCTGCAACTGAGCCCTCAGCTTCAAAAGGAGATATTTATTTGTGGGGCCACAACAAAGTTAATCAATCTAGATGCACGATTATGTTGATGACAAAGTATATCCACATTTTTTTTTAGAACTGATCCATTATGCAACCAACAACCCATCTAGAATAGAGCCTTTAGACACATTTACAAAGTGTTACATCTAGTTGTATGTTTCTTTGCCAGCAAAACTTTACACAAGGGTTCTTTTTCTTTTATTTCAGGTTTCTGCAATGTAAATGATATTTTTTGAAGTTTTAACAGTACTAGCTATCATTTTGTTTGATTTGGCAAAAAAGTGATAGGATAATGCTTTTATTCAACATACGGTAATATTTCAGGGATGATAATTTGATGTTGTTGATGGCTATTCTTATTCAGCAATTAGGACAAAGCCTAGTTTGAAACTAAAATTGATAATGCATTGTAACAAAAATGTTTTCAATGACTAATCAGTGATTTACTGGCAAGATAGAAGGCTGACAAAATTCAAATAGAGATGTAACGTGCTAACCAAAGCATGCACAAAGACGAAGCAGAAAAAACACCGGAGATTCAAAAAAGACAAATGGCTTGCCAGAGCAATGGAGAAATAGAGGCATCAAATCACAGGAGCTTTTGGTGTAACTCACGTCACCAAGCTTTTAGTGAATGTGAGCTCCAGATTAAGTGGCCATTATTTCTTAGCCTGTTTATACATCTAATATTTTAACAAAAAGTAAACATTCACATGGTTGATGCTGTTTGTAGTTAAACCTGTCTACTGGTTTCAGCGCAGGAACAAAACACAATGCCAGTTATTACTCAAGACAACTTTAAAATCTCATCTGGTGAGACCCTTTAGCCGCTTCTGTTTTGTAAAATTAATTAGCTTTACTAACTCCGCCAAGGAGGTTATGTTTTTGGTTCCGTGTATGTATGTGATGGTTAGCAGGATTATGAACCAATGGCTGGATGGATCATCAGTATACTTGGTACAGACAATGGTGGGGACCAACCCTAGAAGTGATAGATTTTGGCTGAAAAGGCTGAAAGGTCAAGGTCTGATCCAGATTCCCAATCTCATGGGCATGTAAAGTTAACAGTGAAAGCCCCATTTAACACTTATTGTCTGCTATAACTTGGCCTATAATGAAGATAGAACCCTGAAATGTTCAGGTAAGATGTACAGTATAGCTGTCTATCATACCCTAAAAGATGATCTGGATCAAGCATTTTAGGACACATTTTGTGTTGTTCCTGATCTCTTCAGTTTTCACAAGGGACCCATTTGTGTGAGCAAATGTGGTGCCTTGGTGGAGGTACATGCGCTCTCTGAGTGTTCTTGTTGTTACTGCATTGCTGACCTGCAAGCCTGCAGCTGACAGGTTCTGAAAAGACCGCAATCTCCAGTGTTTAATTTAGCCATGTGTTTGCAACTTGGCAGGTTGTCACATGTGCATTCAGAAAAATGCAACATTCACTAAGAAGGCCTGGACTAGATGTATACTTTACAGAGTAAAGCTGAGAAGCACCCAGAGATGCTGGTGCATACACAAAACACTGTAAGCCATTCCTACTCTGATCAGTCTTTCAGATCAGCAAGGAAGCATGGTTGCTGCAGTGATTATTAACTCCTTATGTAAAAAGAGGTGAGAAGCATAACTGGATTAAAATGTAACCTGAAAAAAGCATGATGCCAAAAAGTCAGCATGAACAAAGAGTGGTTTAAATTGTGAGCACGATCACTGGTACACTTCACATTCCACTGTTACTGCACACTGCGCAGAGCACAGGATCCCCCTCCCCCATCCTATGGCCTCATTTACTGCGCCTGGATTCAGTGCAGAACCTCAAAATGGCCGTCAGCTCTCCTGCTTGCTGCCAGGCTGAGCTCTCTGTAGCTAGCTGAGCAAGATTCAAATTCATCACCCGTTAAACTGGAGTCAACAAGTCACCATGGTCCGACATCAATGCAGAATCAAGGGCTTAAACAATTTTCAGCAAGTTTCAATAAATTATTTTAAAACCTTTAAAATATTGCTTGACTATACAGTGTTTAACATGTTCTTGGTCAAGCTTTAGTAAGTGGCTTACCATTAAAAAGTTGTAGGCACCAAAAACAAGATGGAGAGGTGTCAATCTTCTCTCTCTTGATTTTGACAACTTCCTTTCTTTCAAGGTGCAAAACAGGTGCTTGTTATTTTAGAATGCGCCTTTGCCAACCCAGTGCTTAACAACAGGCAACTCATCAGTGATTTTCTGCTCAAATGTCAAAGTGTATCAAACTAGACCTGAAACTCTCTCTAAGTCAAAATAAATAAGAGAGCCAGATGACTAGGGCAAGTCCTGCAGCAGGAGGATGTAATATTAAGCCTCTGTGATGCCAAGATATCAACTTGGCAATCCAACCTCACAGTTAAAAGGAACATCAAAGCTTTCTTAGTATTGGTTGATTTATGGAAAACCAACAACACTTCAGCAGTAAGATTATGACAAAGTTGATCACCAACTTCTAGTACAAGCGATTTCTGGACGGGACACAGTGAACATTCATGGTCAACTTGGCGAAACATGCTTTCCAAGAACAGCATCCAAATTATGATCCATGGGTTTCATAAAGTATCAGATATTGCTAAGTTCATCCCTGGCTGACAAGCTATAGGCCTAACTGTTACAAAAGAAAGTATTTTTAATGGATTAGTAGCTGACATGTTGATACCAACCTCTACTCAAACACTGTGGTTTAGCTACACTACCTTTCAAAATCACACCTGCCATGTTATGGCATGAATAAATAAACAACAGCTACAGATTTTAGTGAAAACATCCACACTGACAGTGCATGTCAGCAAAAGCAGGCAGCAGGGCCACTTTGGGCTAAAATGAAATCAAGTTCCATTTTGCAAGTGACTATGACTCTGACATGTTGGTGTTATTGTTATTAAAAATAGTTATATAATTGACCTATTGTGATAGCGATTGTGCTTCTGTCATAATGAATGCGATGTTGCCGGTTTGACATGCAGTGAAACAGTACTGAATAAAAACACAAAAACAAAACAGCCACAATCAAGATTGCTAGCAATACACATGCTTTACACCTGTGTGATTTTCGTGAAATTCAAATACAGGGTGAACAGCGCACAACTACACTACGGTTTTGGCACAGTAATAAATACACAGATATGCACTCACATGTTTGTATGGACATAGAACATGCATGACTCAAGTTAACACCTTAAATTACTGAGCCCAAATATTTGAGTCTGACCAGGGACAGTGTTTAAATAAAGGATACATCTGGCCTCAAACACAGCACAGCAGGTATTAAAATGGCTGTACTGACACCGTCAGTCAGCCAGTTCATGAGAACTTACAGCAAGCTCCCCAACATTAATAAAATGCCTGCAATAAAAGGGCAAAACCCCACCTACAACAGCTAGCATAGCACCCCCTACAAATAAAAGCTAATCTTTTGGAGAGTGTGCAGTTGCAATGAGAACATTTGTGTTAAATTTAATGACAGACAAATGTCAAACATGTTTAAAACAAAACAAAAAAGACAACCTTTAGCAAGATGTATGGGATTGAGGCCTTCCATGCATTTGTTGATTGTTGGAGCAAAGCATGGCCAAAAAGCCAACAAAAGGAACATAAGAGAAAGGAGGAGGGGCTCAGTTAGGACTACTCCATCGTGTTCTCTGCAGGGGTATGAGCTATAAAGGGTGTTGTTCAAAGCCTTCAAAAAGAAATGTCAGGAGCATTGGCTCCTGACACAGCAGTGTGCCATAATGCATAATATGATACTCAAAAATGAAATGGTATTTTTAACTTTAAGATGACACCTATGAAGTTCATGATATATGTGCAGGTGCCACAAGTACCTACAGAGCAGTACTTGTGTCTACAACATTTTTAAATACAGCGTGGTATTTATTAAAATCAACCCTAGCTAGCAGCGCACAGACAGAGGGGAAGTACACTGCACATCCTGTTGCTTAGCAACACCCATCCCCCACTCTAGCACAATCTAGTCCACAGTATGGAAATTTACAGCCAGCACAGACTAAACCACTCTGTCAAAGTGCAGGGGGGGGGGGGGCGCGGCCTTTTTTTTAACACCATATGCAATGAACATTTTATGATTAAAAAGGTCAAGGACAACATTGTGCACTCAGAAATATTCCTGGAGCACAGTACTTGACCTTGTCGTTCTGTATATGTTGACCAGCACCTATTGTGTTTCAGTCTATTGTTTCCATGTAACTGTTTTAAGATTCTTCTGGTGCTACAATAATTTAGTTCAGCAAAACAAAATATATTGTTAGAAACCCTGACATAGCTGTAAATAAGTGTATTGCCTCCTCTTGGCTGTACTGAATCTTTCACACATTTTATCAGAACTGCATACATATGACATGGTCACCCGAGGTACTATCTGCAATAAACTGAGCACTCGCTGGATTGAGTAATAAGTTAGCCTCAACCTACTATTATCCTTTTAATGTTTTGACCAGTGTGCACTATAGAAGACTATATTTAGAACATGCTATAGGTCAACTTTAGTTTATTACTTTACTTTATTAATAGGTAAAATCATTGCACTAAATACTTAAGTTTGACAGAAGCTCTGTTAACAGCCCTGGATGAAATACATTTGGCAGTTTGCAACATATTAGATCCTGGCATATGTCTCTAAGACACATAAATTAATGCTGTTAACCTATAAACTATTTAGAAACCATTTATTATTTATTTAAAATGTTAAAACTGTGGAAATGCTAATAAGAATCCCATTCTGGCTGTGATGCCTCCTGCTTTGCAAAGACCGT